ATTAGTGGTAGAACTCCTGCCTGGTATATGTAAGGGCCTAGATCCAATCCCCCAAAATGGAAGAAATGTCTATTTTTGCATTATTTTCAATACATGGTAATGTTTTCTTTGTCTAAGACTAGATTTAATTTTATCCAGTTTTCTTGTAAACTTTGAGTTTTCTATTCTTTATGTTTAGTGAAAATTATCATAAATCATGGAATTTATGGATGAAGTATTTAGCAATCATTAAATTTAAGAAGGAACCTTGGACACACTGAAGAGGTGCCAGTTTTATCAAAATTTGTAAAAAAATATTATGTAGATGCATTTTATGTGAATATGTGTGTCTGTTGGTTTGTTTGTAAACAATGCATTACATTTAAAAAAAAGATGTTAAAGCAAATGTAGATATGGCAGATTTTGATCAAAGCAGAAATGTTTTAGAATAACAATAAAGCCAGATACCAAAAGTATAAGCTTCCTAGTATAAAATTCAAAGAAAATTCTCAGTCCCAAATTTGCAGAGGATGATGGAGATGATAAGTTAATGAGAAAGAGACTATGTGCTAAGCTAAAAAGAAGGATGGGTCTTCAGTGTGTGAAGACAAAGATGTAAACCATGGGTTCACCTGTCTGACCAGTTTATGGAGTGATGGCTTGTTTTACCAACTCATTTCATTCCTGCAAAGAAATTTAAAAGCTGATCCAATGTAAACATCATATGATGACTCATGTCTGTGCCTACTGGATGTGTTAAAGCCAGTATATAGTACATATTTTCTACAAGAAAATACACAGACAACATGGTATGTCCTTGTTATCATTACTCAAAATAGAAAATAATAACAACAACTACATGAATGGGTACACACCCTTGGGCAATGGTTTTGGTATGAATTATTAATTCTTTAAACTGTTTAATTCTCTTTGATGATTATACTTTAATGAATCTATTACAATGACATGCTGTATGTCTTAAGATATGCATTATACTATATTTCTAAATATAGCCAATGAAGAAAAATTCTTAGCACAGAGGAGCAGTAAGCAACACTGTCCATTGCTTAAAGGTTTGATTTCAAAAGTTGGAGCATCTGTGCTCAAATTTTGACTCTCTCATATAGTGAATGAGAGCTGTTGAGTAAATTATTTAAAGTTCATGCCTCAGCTTCCATATGTCTGAGATGAATGTTATCATAGGCCATATTCCTTCATTGGGGATTAATGAGGCAATGGCATACAGAGGGTGGGGATTCTCTTCCTTCATCATGTATGCTCATGAATGGGCTAATTATAAAAGGAAGAGATGAGAAGAGTGGAGTAGGAGAGACATGTTCTAAAGTGAGAGATTTGTTGTATAAATTTTGGTACATGAACACTAGATTTAATTTGTATAATACAGGAAATAAACAACTATTTATTGAAGTTGAGATTTCACTATAAAATATACAGCAATGTACATTGGGTATACTTTTGACATCATTGAACTTCGAACAAATTACTAAAAATTAGTCTATTTTACTACAATCACCAACAACTATGTGCCATAGTTTAATTGAAAATATTCAACTTACTTAATGAGATCTGTGCTTGACAGACTAATGGTCTCTAAAGATGTTCCTGTTGTGAACTGGAAAACACATCAGTGCTAACTTCTATGGTCCAAGGTAGATTGCAGATCATGGGATAGAGAAGTTGTTTTTAGTTAGTCAAGTGGGTCAAATGGAATCACCAAGGGCCTTAAAGGAGGTAACAGAGTCAGAGTTATTTATGATAGTTGAAACAGACCATGGAGTGACAGAGAGGGAGGCCAGGAGCCAAGGAAAACAGACAGCCTCTAGAAGTTAAAAGTAGTTGGGAAAAGATTCTCCCTGGAGAAATTAGGAGGACCTAGCTCTACCAATACCTTGAATTGGTGAGGCTGACTTTGAACTTCTGATCTTCTGAACTGTAAGATAATCTATGTGCTGCTTTAGGCCACTAGGTTAGTTTCAGCGTCTACAGGGAACTAACACAACACCTTAAATGGTAAGACAAAGCTTTTTTTTTTTCTTAAAAAAAGAAGTTGATTTCTAGGTATGTATTAGGCTTTTCTGCATTCTGAATTAATTCTTGCATGCACAATTCAATCAATATTAAGCTATTGAATAGCTTTTAAAAGGAATAGTTGATATCCCTTTCAAAGAGTTGATAATAAAAAAGAAATATGGCATTAAACCATAGTATCAATTTACATTGCAGTAAAGTTACAATGTCATTAAGTGGTTAAATACTAAGTTACATAATGAAGACTTCCAGAAGATTGACTAAAATATTAATGGTATTGTTTCTCTGTCCCACTACTGTAAATGACTTTCCTTTTTTTGCCTTTCCAGTGTCCTAATTTTCTATAACTAGTATCACTTTAATGATGACAAGGCACATGACCTTTTTTCTATAAAGAGACAGCACTGTACCATGAAACACGAAATGCAATACAGGCAACACCACTATATTCAATCACAGGTACCAAAATACTAATATAATGAATAGTTAAACATTTTCAGAATCACAGGTCTATATGTTCCAAGTTTTGTGCTCATCTTGAATTTGTGGCTTGGTTTAAAAAACAATTGTTAGCTTTAATAAAGGTACAGTTATAAACATCCACTGATCAGCTACCTTGCACGTCATGACCAGGACAGCAGGTGATTTGATGAAAATGATTTTAGCAGATTCTGACAGTCAATTCAACAAAAAGGGAAAATGACAGAGATTAGAATAGGCACAGAGCCTGCAAACTGATCCCTCTTCCATTTTATGTGGAAAAATGATTTATTCCTGAAACTATGGCTGTTTGCTCTTGGAAAAGTCATTCCACCCTCTTAAGCCTCATTCTTTCCCTGTTAGATATGAGGGTATAGAATTAAACTGACCAAAATATTCTCCATAGCCCTAATATTTTATAATTGCGTGACTGCAGAACACAATCAGGAGACTAATTCAAAAAGGCAAACTAAAAATAGTCTTCCCCAGGATTTTATAGACTCATTTTGCTACCATACAGGTGTTGAATTAACTTCTGTCATTTCCATCACACTGACACTACACAACATGCTGCTAATACCCTTAGCATCAGTTATCTCTTTTTTTTTTTCCATAACGTCAGATAATAAACACTATACTAAAAGATTCAAACATGTCTTGGCTTTAGGAAGTGGCAGTCTGATGCCTGGTTGCTCAACCAAGACTTGGAGTGTGTCACTTTTCAGCTCTTTAAGGAATATATTCATAAACTCGGGTAAGAGGCCCACATTCTTCTAGGAAAATCAGACACATTAAAACAGCTTAACAGCTTTCCAACTAAATTCAAGGCCTGATGCTTACTCAATAACTACAGGGTGAAATGAGGATGCCATGTCTGGAATCTGCCTTAAATGAATTTTTCTCTAAGTTAGAAATGTCCATAAATATTTACTTTGCATTTTGTACTATTTCCAGGAAATATTGATAACATGCCTTTTCTTTCAAAGAGACTTGGGTTACTTAACCTAGATTTTAAGAAATTTATGAGTCTTGTAGTGTAGAATAATCATACACAGATTGAGCACTAATACAAAACAGAAAGATAAATGTCAAAGAAAGATATGGGTGAAAGAAAAAATCAAGTCCACATGTTCTGTCAGGGAGATGTGTGTAGCAGGCTTATATGATGCATGTCTTTGAAGGCTGCTGGACACCTGAATTCAAGAACCAAGGTGGAAGGAGACAGCTTTGTTGATGGAAGAAATAGAATGAACATTTTTTGCAGGGGTAGGGTTTGGGGTATCTAAGGTATATCTGGAGAAGAGAAGAGTAAAATATGATAATAATTCTCACTCCAGTCAGGAAAGCCATGCTGAAAAGATGGAAATAATGGATACAATCTGGATTGCAAATGCCTTGAATAGCCACATAAGGAGACCATACTTTATTATATAGATAAAAGAGAGACATTTAGGACTTTGACACAATTACCTAATTGATCTACACTCAGGCATCCTTATCATAGAGGCCAATGGTAATTCTTATCCTGTTGTAAAAGCATTATAATTTCTCATTCAACAAGTGAACAAGATTCCAAACTGTTTTCCCACATATTGTGCAGTGAATTCAAATTCAACTCTCACATGTCTGAAAATCTGCAAGGGCAGATTCCCTTTGTCATTCTAGCATTTAAGTGTTGTCTGTTGTTGGAAGAAAAATGCTCCTACAAAATCCTACCCTGAAAGTTGCGATTATGATGACATAGGAAACTTTTCTGGGCTTAAAAGGAGAATTGGTTATGCTGACTGTATCTAGTGGCTTTGAGTATCTCCTAAGAGACTCAAACCCAGCTTTCTAGACTCTCATGTTTAGCTATAGCCCCTGTATATACTCCATGTTTCTTCTGGTATTGGCACTAAACCTAAATTCTGTATGGGACAGAGAAGCATGAAAACAATCTTATTGTGGATATATGGATATGCATTTATGCAGAAATGAATAAATATATACATGTTATACACAATGGCAATATCACATTGTATCTCATTTTATATCTGCCATCTTGCAGTGGAAGTTGTATTTTCTGTATATTTTATGAGCATTTTGAGAACAGACCTACTTTATTGTGTCATATACACAGCCAATTTTCAATGAATATTTATTTATCAATTTAGTCAAGTCCTTCTGTCTCCAGGATACTCTGGATTTCCTCGTAGGACAGGAGAACAGCTGGTTAACATATTTGGTATAAGTGGACAGAAAAGTATGGCTTTTATTTTCCCTTCAGTCTCTAAAGGGAAGATGGCTTGTTTGTTTAAGAGCTTCAGAGATAAGAGGTTTTACCTCATCATCTGAAAGTAATCTATCAACATGGACATGAGTGGGTGCAATGTGCTTGACAACAGCCAGCCTGACACTGACAAATCATGTGCCAAACATTAAATCCAGGTGGTGTTTGTAGTTCATACAACACATCAACCAGCATGGCTTTCATGGTTGAATTTGGCACTCACCTCAATGAAGAAGATGCTGGCTGCTGATGTTGGGTGGTGATACATATAAACTGTCACCAGGATGGCCGCTGCTATAATGAGGACCAGGATGAGGATTCCAACGATGAGGCCGGCATGGAGGGTTCCTCCTTTCTTCTCAGCTGCACTGTCATCTGTGGAGGCTGAAAGAAGATCCCAGCTGTCAGGCTCTTCATATGTGTACCCCTAAATTCAAATTTTCATTTGTGGAAAATTCTTGTATGTAAGCAAATAACACTAAATCTTTATTGCATCAGTTCAGGCTTGTGTGTATCCATACAGCTCATGTCTGGAGTTATTTAAGCAACAAAACCCATAATATTAATGGCTAAAAAATGAATTTAATATTTTTGGTGATACTGGGTATCAAATCCATGAACCTGTGCAAGTTAGGGAAACACTCTATTGCTTAGGTACATCTGCAGTCCCTGTAGCAGAATATCAATTTCTAGTTTAATAAACACAACTAGTAGCTTTGTGTGTGTGCACGTATGTTTGTGTGTGTGTGTGTGTGTGTGTGTGTGTGTGTGTGTGTGTGTGTGTTTGTATGTGTGTGCGCATGCATGCCCACGCATGCATGTATGTATGTGGATGTATATGATCTTGTATGCTCGTAGGTGTTGGGGCAGGTCAATGTTGGGTAACTTCTTTAATTGGCCTCAACCTTGTTTTTGAGAAAGTACCTCTTGCTTTAACTGAAGCACACTAGTTGGCTAGACTAGCTGGGCATGCCAGGATTAGAAGCACAGTCTAATCTTTTTACATGAATGATGGGGATCTGAACATATTGACTAAACCCTGTCACAGTAATCACAATAACCACATGAATTTTGGGAACATCTCAGATTCCATTTAACTATACATTTAACTCCCACCCCTACCTCTCCAAACGGGCACTGTTATCACCAAGGAAAAGGGGACTGCTTTTCAAAAAACTCTCTCATATTCTGTGTGGAATTTTACATGGATGAGAACTACTTTTTTTCAGTTGGCAACACAAATATTTTCAGAAAGTCTATGAATGAACCGCGAAACACAATTCTCAAAATCTCTTTTAAATGGAAAAGCTTTTAGAAGCATAATAGGTGAAGGCAAAATGACCTTTGAATAGTTTTATCACTTTCTAAAGGGAAGATTATAGCACATGAAGATTCCAGTATGTCACAGCCTGGTGTCATTTTATCTAAATTCTAATAAGGTGTCTGCCAGTTTTCTGAGTTAGCAAATGAAGGAATCTAATTTCCAATGTCATGACTGTCCAACTCCAAGTCAATCAAGCAATCAAATGATCTATGAAGTGTTATAAGATTCTGTAATTTTTGATGACTGCTCAGGCATTTAGGGATCATCCTATATCATATGTTGTAGGTAACCTCATGCTAGTGTGTAATGTGACTGGTACTTTTGAGTCATCAGCTAATTCTCAAGATGGAAAGGTATTCTACAGAAGTGGTTCATATTCCTTGTATTAGCAGCTCTTCTCTGTGTTATTCTTGCCCCTTGCTTCTATGTTTTAAATATCTCTTCTATTAAATGAACTAATGTGCATTGGGGTGTTTAGTTTTTTATGTTTTTTACTTTAAGAGTTTATTAGTAAAATACAAACGTGGTTTTCTATCAGGATGCATGGTCCATGTGGACTTTCATGATTATAGATAAAGCAAAGAAACCTCATAAAATCCTTCACACTCTCTCTTTAATTCTCCTGCTTCCTCTGTTCTTCCTCCCTTTCTCCTTTTCCCTCCCCCTCTCCCTTCCCCTTCTCCCTTTCTCTCTAGCCTTCTGTCCTTCTTTCCTTTCTTCATCTCCCCCTTCCCTCTCTCTTCAATGGTAGGTCCTAAAATCATAACTTAACCCTAATCCTAGATCTCTCTTCATTTTCCCATCATCATTGTTTGTTCTTTGCTTGACCCGTTGGTATTCAGTGATCCTTCCTTAAATCCTAGAGGATTATTTCATTACATAAAGAATAGAAAATGTAAAAGGCAATTCACTATATAAAATTGCTTTGCAATATACAGATACATGTCTGTTGTCTTGCATATATCCAATCAGTAACACTCAGAGGTTGGCATTATTATTCCTGCCTTTTAATAGGTGATGCAACTGAGGCACCAGGAAATTAAGAAATGTGCTAAAGCTGCAAAGTTACTAAATTAGAGCTGATCTCAAACAGGGCAGGCTGGTTGTAAACTCTGACCATCATTTGCTCAGCTAACATTGAGCTCTTAGCACTTCACTTCCTTCTTATTTGACATCATGGGTCTGGCATATAATTCTGGAAAAAATAAGGTAATTTTAAGTACGGAAAATGATTTGAAAGTCAGCTCAAAATTTAGTTTTGTGCCATTTATAAAGGTAGTGGTTGTGCCTTTCCTGTGACTTCTCCTGGCTCAGGTCAGTGATTCTCCTGTGACTTCTCCTAGGCTAAGTCCAGTGCCTCTTCTGTGACTTCTCCTGGGGTTCAGGCCAGTGTTGTCATCAGAAGCACTTTCTCAAATTTAGGCAAAGAACCAGTTGAGAGTGACTAAGGAAGAAAAATGAAAGACTAATAAAGGCCATTGCAAACTGTGACAGCCACCAAAAAGACATCCATAAAAGTGGGGTATCGCTTTAGGAAGTGACCTCATCTTCCTTGTCCTCAGATTACCAGTCTGCACTATGATGTTAATGATAATATTACACCACAGAATTCCAGGTAGAACTTAACATCTACATACATAGGTCTTAAGGGTAGCAGATGGCATGTAGTAAGCACTTATTCAATTCTAAGCTGTGATATTAATACTTTATTTTTATATGAAGCAGATTGAAGGAAATTATAGAGACAGATTCCTAACACCATAAAACTAGATATTTGGCTTCTTTACTAAGTATGCATTATGACTGCCTCTTGTGAACTTGACATATTATTTCCAAGATTATGACATGTTAGTTTCATAAGAAAACAGTATTGATTTAAAACATTAAAATATAATAAAAGTGGATACTCGAGTCATATAAAAAGTCTTTGATGTTTCTCTGAAGCCCATGTATAATTCCACCCCTCCTTCCCACCATCTCTTGCAGCAGCCCTTCCTTGTTCTTCTGTTTTTCTGAGTCCTTTCATCTCTGCATCCTCCCATTTCTTTCCATCCCTTTACTGATGTTTTTTCTCTCCCTCTTCTATTGATGCCCCAGCTATCCATCACCTGTCCTATTGTATCTCTATGGTGTTCACATTCTCATATACATAGCACCAAGTTTGAGCCTCACAGGTCTGATGTGTGCAGGAAATCAAAGGAATATGAAGTACTGACTTGACCTCAGGCTATGGCTTCCTGAGTAGACCAGAGGATGTGTTCTATTTAGTAAGATTCTAATCAGAACTAAAACCATTGCTAAAATGCAGGACCAATCTTTGAAATATAAAATAAAATAAAAACAAATGAAAGTTGCATATTCAAGGTTGTAAACCTTGTTCAGCTCCCTTCTTAGGGCATAAAGGTTAGCTCTCACTATCATTACTTAGTCATGTTAGACATACAGATTTAAGTTATATTATCACCCTCTGAAAAATACGTTTACATCTTTTTGTTTAGACTCCTGGTCATGTCTGGTATTCTTTGTGTAGAGTCTGATTTGTTGCTAGGTAAATAATCATTTCACAATTATTCAGATAATGATGATGTTAATAAAAGTGATCCATTTTCATAGTTTCTCAAACACTGGTACCAATAGACAAATATTTACTGACCTATGAATGTCAAGTGACCCTGATGTGTCAAAGAATGTGCTGTCATAAGAACAAACAACTTAAGGAGAAATGTAACACTTAATTCTAAAATATTACAAAACATGTTAATGTTAATTTCAGAATGAGAGACAAAAGGCACATGCAATTTTTTGACAACATATTTTCTACTCCCATGTAATTTACCTGTTATTTCTTTTTATATGACTCTACAAATACTATGAAAAGCTTCTTTATCCCAGATGTTTTCAAAGGACTTTATGGATCAGAAACCAAGATGTTATTGGGATGTTAAAGGTTGTTGAACTAGAAAATCTGCAGTGATAATTTGGATTCTAAATTCTCTGTTTGATTTCCAATTTATCATCACAACTTAAACAATACAACAGGATATACATGTGGCTATCTGTGGACAACACACAGGAGTCATCTGTGTCCAAAATTATGAGCATCTCAATTCCAAACTGAAATTAAAAGAAACCAAAAAAACAATAACAAAAAAAGCAAATGTAAAAGTGAGTCCTTGGTAACAGCTATCATTGAGAGTTCATTCATGTACCTCAAGGAAAGACCCTCAAATGAATTGATACCAATATCCCCCAGAAAAGATAATGAACAAAAGTGTCAATTTGGGAAACCAATCAGTGGTGGTCTTTTAAATTGGCAGAGAGAAACAAGCTAAAGACAATACATTCACAGCAGACACATGCCTCAGGTGTAGACTTCTTGTCCTGCTTCTTAGAGTCTGTAAAGGGAAATGTGCAAGCATGTTCACAGGAGTCCAGTAATGACCCTAAAAATTTGTATGCTTTTCTTAGAAATACCATATGTTTTATTTTATTCGTACCTCAAAAGAATGAAAACTACACATCTATCAACTCAATATCATACACCAGATAATTCAAATCTTCGATCATGTTTTATCTGTAAACTGAGTACCAAACTAAAGGAGATTAATGATGAAAAGCAGTGAGACATCATAAAATGAAATCTCCAGACCAAAGAAGTGTTAGAAATAAACACTAAAAGTCCACACAGTGAAGGCATTCATTTTTGTAATGTGTTTCAGGCATGATTTAAAGCTTAAGTGGAGCATAGAAAATCAACAATATCAAAGATGACACACTCCCCTGTGACACTCTGAGTGACCCACGGAGGGCTTGTAGCTTTTTAGTTCATAGAATGATGATCAGCATTCAGACACAGACAGGACTAACAATTGTCACATCTGTCAAAGCAATTTGTCATTGCTGGCTGAGTTTTCATGACCACAACAGTCAATACAACAGATTTCTAAAAGCAGAAAATATCCAAGTCTTTATGTGAACTGATTCATTTACTCTATTCCAGGGAACATTTATGACTAAATGAGCTGATAGGAAGAAAAGTGGAAGAAATAAAGAGAGGGAA